GGGTGCACCATCGCCGATAGCTCTGGCAAGCTTGGGCAGACCCTCGGCAGGCCTTCTTAGTAGCCGAGTAGGTAACCTTTAACGTTTTTGGGCTTATATAATCCTACCATAATTGAAAGGTTAACCTTTTTGGGGGCTAGGGTACTCAGGCCCTAAGCCTTCTTCTTATTGTCATCGTATGTTGTTTCGTAATCGCTTCGTTCTAAGCCTTAGTGGTGCTAGTGTAGGTAATTGTCGAAGCATGTGGTAGCTTCTTGTTCGAATTGTCTTGTCGTTGTCCTTCCAAGTCAGAGCCATCAGAACCACTGTGAAACAACTTTGTATGCACCTTCTCTGCACGCACCCTGATCACCATTGCATGCTGATCAGCCTCTACTCGCGGGGCGGGACGGATACATACACAACACACTTGCGTACGTACGTGCATGCATGCATGCATACATGGCAGTTGATGTAAAGGTCCCGGAGGCAGACGTTTCCGGTACAGCACGAAAGATACCAATGGGAACAGGGCTTCATGAGCAAAAAGGGCCAGACTCCAAACTATCAGTTCTGAATCCTTCAATCCTCGCAAAGAGAAGCCGAAGATTCCTGTACGGTCTACGGCGAGGGAGAGTTGGGGCCCCATCGTCCTTGTTGGGATTTACAAGGGACAGGGCTTTAAGAGTATGGTCTGTTTCGCAGATGGAAAACTCCAGCTCATGGATCAGCATGGGGCTTTGCTTATGGGTTAAATCAAGTTTGCGAGTGAGGTCCACCTTGGAGTTATATCCAACATCAGGGTTTGGGGCCAATGTAAGGTCTAACGGCAGGGTTAGTCCTAAAGATACTGTTGGTTAGGAATAGGAATATAGGAGTCAGTCAAGGCCCACGGTCATTCATACGTATTGCTCGGGGCTTTGGTCTCAGACTACAGTGAAGCCTTCCTTGACAGAAATGATTTTCATCGTTGGCGAAATCATCTATCGGAGTATCTGCGTGAAGGGTCGCAAGAATGCAGAATGAAGGCTTCTGCCGATATACATATGCTCTCCTCGGAACTTCAAAACCTAACATCAAACCTGGATCATGCACCAAAAGCTTAAATGTAGGAGGATTGGTGGCGCTCTCGCGGCACCTCGCGGTAGTTCTTGGGGGGCGGGTAAGTATGTGTGTATATATGTATGTATGTGTATATATATATAATGGATAGACATACATGCGTACGGATATACTGTAAAAGAGTATCAGCAGGGGGAGAGGTACAGAGCCAGGTCACCACTCGGCAGGAAAGGCTTCTAGGATGCGCCCCTGCGACTTTCTAGTTTGCAAAATTTTGCTATGGGTTGGGGACTGTGCTAGACTTGCTACATGTTGATGCTCCCGTGTGATGCAAACCGAGGATTGAGTTCGTGCCACGGGGATCCTCGGAAGAGGTGCTGGTGCAATACAGCCAGGACGAGCGGTTTCACCACATTTCCGATTACGGTGCAGCACAGCTCCCCGACCCATGTCCGCGCTCCCGCCTCCAAAAACCCTCCGCCGTCACATCGCCAGTAACACCATCCTCCGCAGCTGCAGCTACACGACAGCGTCTCACAGCAATCACGCGGCAAGGGCAACAGGAAGGGGAGCCAGCCATCCTCGGCTTACGAAGAGCAGTCGCAACAATGCAGCTGGTCCCAAACTCTGTGGCGTGGAGATGCTCAAGCTTGTTTGGCATCGTGCATGAACCACGGTGCAGGAACAAACACTGCATAGCAGCCGGAAAACTGAGTCTTTGCGAAGCTTTCCCACATCAGCGAAGCTTTCCCGCGTCCAGCCAAAGCCCTCGCAATTTCGTTTTCTGCTGTTATATGCTGCGCTGGAAACGAACAAACAGCCGAAACAAGCGATTTCGCAAGTGTTTCTGCATCGGACAGCTGCCTTTTGCTTCTCTTTCCCCTAGCCTCGTGATATTGCTGCCGCTGTTTCTGCACTAGTGCTTCTGCGACTGCAATGCTGCATTACCACGTATCACTTCTCCCACTCTCATTACTACTGCTACTGCTGCTGTAGCTGCTGCTACCACGGCTGCTGACAACTACGCAATGACGATTGCTATGCTAATACGACAATCTTGTATGTCTTTTTCTACTGCCGCCACTATCAATGCCGTTGCTACCACTTTCCCAACCCAAACACCGCCCCTCGTGGATAAAGCAATGTGTCACCGCGGGTGGGACACTGCGACCACTCCAGCTGCAGTCACGGCATCACAGCCAGGTCCGGAACATTTTAATATAATGCTTGTTTGTCCCCATTATCTGTGCCTGTCCCTGCTGACACCCGGAAGTTGAAAGCCCCTCAGCAGGACCCGCAAGACCTGGCAGCATTGCGCTGGACCGGCCGCCATGGGCTGCGTGTGGTGGACGCTACTACCAGGTGCTCTCGATAGTGGAAATCCTTGTAGGCGTTCCGGTCTGAAACTCTCCGAAGAGCTCCCCAGAGAGCCCAATACCCCTTAATTAAGGAATATACCTGAAATCACAATATTAAGGCCCTATAATTTAAGGTATATTCCTTATTTAAGGGGTATTGAGCTCGCTGGGTCAGTGCTCATGGAGGCATCGCGAACCAAACCGCAGAAGACATTGACTTCAGCTTGGCAAGATTTGTTCTGTTCAGCCGAGCCGGTGTTCCGACAAGTCGTCTTCAGGGTTTCATGGGCTCCGCTTCAGCATTGTTGCCCGACGCTTGCGCGACTTTCTCTGTTAGGGTTAGCCTTTTGTCCTTCTTCGGTTGGTTAGAAGCCGTCGTCCAGCATCTAGACAAAGCCTTGGTTCACCGCCTGCGGAGCTCTACACTGCAGCCCTAAATAATAGCCAGGCGGTCCACGGAGCGTGCAGATGTGCGCGCCTATCGGGAGGTGGCAACTCAATGTTTGGAAATTGAGCCTGTTGGCTTGTGTCTACTTCGTTGACCAATCGGTAGGTTGGGAAGGTTGGTCGTGGTAGAAATTATCGCCCTTATTTGTGACATTACATTCAATAGTACACTCGTACTAGGCGTGCTTCAAAAAACAAAACCCTCAATAGTCGTTCTTAAGCCTAAACCCCTGCCAAAAAACATTTGTGCAAGTCGAAAGAAAAAGGCTCTTAGGCTATCAGCCAATAAGTACTGGGCGATTACCATTAAGATAGTAGGTTGTAGGTCCAGTAACGCGAAACCCTACAACCCGGCGTCGCGAAACCATACCGTACACTACCAAAACCTACTTTTTTGTAGTGTCCCTGTAAAATGCTGCGTTAGGGTTTAACCCTAAACCCTAAACCCTTTATAACCAGAGCCTACAAAAAAGTAGGTTATGGTAGCTTAAGGTAAGGGGCCTAGTGTCCGAAGTGGAGGACCCTAAACCCTAAAGCCCAAAAACCCTAAACCCTAAACCCCAAAAACCCTAAAACCCAAAAACCCTAAACCCCAAAAACCCTAAAACCCTAAACCCTAAAACCCCGGAGGCTCTTCGCGCCATTCGCTTGCGAAGCGCCGGACAGCCCGTAGAGGAGATCGCGGAGGAGCTCCCTTGGGTCGAGGGTTCAGGGGTTTAGGGGTTAGGTTTAGGGGTTTAGGGTTTAGGGTTTAGAGTCCTGGATGCAAAAGGGTTTAGGGTTTAGGGGTTCAGGGGTTCAGGGCTTGGTTGAGGCCCTGGGATTCAGGGTTCCCCAGAGAGCCCAATACCCTTTAATTGAGGCTTATACCTTAGATTATAGGGGCCTTAGTATTAAGATTTAAGGTATATTCCTTAATTGAGGGGTATTGGGCTCTCTGGTTAGGGTTTGGGGTTTCGCGTGCTCAGCCATAAGCGCTGGCGTCTGGAGCTTGGCTGAAGGGCTTCAGGGCTTAGTGCATTGCAGTCCCTGCTCAATAAAAGGTTTGGGTTTAGGGTTTAGGGGTTTAGGGTGCTGGGTCTAGTCTAGGGTTGGTTTAGGATTCACGGGGGTCGATACCGGGCTTTAGAACATTTGGTCAGGCAGACTCGGTGATTCGAGAGGGGGTGTGCTTTGTACCTTTGGGGGCTGTCAACTCGGCTTTCGGGCTGCAGAGATTTGTTCCGATTCGGGACTGTTGGTAGTATCAGTCATGACTCCAAAGTTTGTGTTTCATGCAGCGCGCAAATGCTTACAGGGCTGAGGCCTGCCAGTGTTGATGAGAAGGTTTGCTGGGGTTATGGCCCAACACACGGTATTAAAGCTCCCAGGGCCTTGCTTTCTCACGGTGGGGGGGCGTGCGTTGATGTTGGATCTTGTTGGTTTCAAGGTCCTTGTTGGATACAATTTTACATTTTTGTTGTAATAAAACCCTAATAGGAATAAAAAAGTCATTTTTGATATGGCCCCCAACAGGGAACCAGCTTTGGGTTTTGGCGGGGCAGCCCGAGATCGTTTCCGGCTGACTTTTGTCGCGCAAGGAAATTGTCGGGTTTCAGTGCCCTAAATTGGAGGGCCAGATTCGGTAAGCCCAGCAACACTACAGCCATGAAGTCAGACAGACAGCCCAAGCCTTAAGCTTAATTTCCCGCAGAGCCACAATATCCTCCTGAACTTTGCTTTCTTTCTCTACGTACTTTCAAATCCCGGGAGCTTCATGGACCTTTTGGGCCCCGCTCTGATTCGATATTCCCCACAGTGTCACAGGGAGTGCAGGGGCACAACTCGTTTGAACGTCTATAATCCAAGATAACCGAGGGTATTGCGGGCTTTTTGCAAAGTCTGCTCCATTGCTACTAGTATGAATGGTGTCAGTTGCATCCTTAGTTAACGATTCATACGGAGCTTTGTTGTCATGGTGGATTGTTTAAGTTGTGTTGAGACGATTGTACCATGTTGTACCTATAAGTCTCATGAGAACCCCCTTATTTCTGAAGACCTAATTTTCGTATGCCGCCATGAACTTTTCAAGAGCTTCCCATGGATATGCACACCGCAATATCCCTGAGCACTGGTGAGGAGTTGGGGCGCCCGACATCCTGGGTCCGCCAGAGGATGGATCAGAGCCCGGCTATGCTGCAAAAGCCAAAGGGCATGGAATGGTGGGACGCCGAAGGGCACCTCGGATTGCAGGGTGTTGGGCAAGCTTTGGCGAGTCCGTGGAATCTGTCCAAAATTATGAATTTACACACGTCCCTGCAGTCGAAATCCACCCTAAGTCCAAAGCATTGGCCGGAATCCTGGACCCCAATCCGCATAGCTGAAAAGGCACATCATCCCAAAGCAGACTTCGAGCTATGAGGTTCTGCGAGGTGACCTATCTCCGCGGCTACACCCGCCAACCCGGTCTCTACGAGGACGAGTCTAGCGTCGTATGCATCCAGAATAGCCTATAAGGCCTAGCTGGATGGCAGTTCAAGCAATGAAAACGCACTGCAAAAAGCCAGGGATGCCGCAAGCAGAGGATAGTAACAAGAGAAGTGCCACAAGAGCCACCAGCAGCAGTACTACTGCTGCTGCTGCTGCTGCTGCTCCTACTACTACTACTACTACTACTACTACTACAACTACAACTACTACTACTACTACTACTACTTCCTACTACTACTACTACTACTACTACTACTACTACGACTACTACTACTACTACTACTACTACCACCACCACCACCAAGACGACTACGACCACCACTGCTGCTGCTGCTACTACTACTACTACTCCTACTACAACTACTACTACTACTACCACCACCACCACCACCACCACCACCACCACGGCTACCACTACCACTACCACCAGCACCACGGCCATCACCACCACCACCACCACCATCACCACCACCACCACCGCCACCACCACCACCACCACCACCACCACGACTACAAGTGCCACACCATTGCCATTTCGGCGACTGCTGCTTGCATTGCTACTTGCATCCATTGCTGCAGGTTTTTTTGCTGCTCCTGGTGCCAGTTATGGAAGTAAGTGTTCCCACAACATGAAAAGTAGTGGTAGCAACAGGGACCAACATGGATCAGAGCTGCAACATGAAACGGAGAGCTTTCAGAGGCGCTGGAAAAAACAAAACCGCCAAAAACCTTCAATTTCAACCGTATGCGCAAGACTGTCCAACTCTAAACGCCCACCGGGCGACTGCCCGGAGTTGCGACCAGAGCGCATGCTTTGAGGAGTCTGCTGCCTCCGGTAGCAGGCCTCAATGATTAGGTGACAGTTCGGACTTCACGATTCGACTGCCAAGACTTCCTTGGCCAGAATCTTGCTACCACAGTCACTTTCACTCTTGAACTTGTCGTGATTCGTAGCGTCATTGTTTCGGCGGCTGCTATATAGTAGCAGCTCAAGCAGGCCCATAGTAGCAACAATCGGCATGGGGATCCGAAGATCGCGAAATCTGCCGGACTCCCTGGAAGAATCCGTTTTGTTCATCTACACGGGAAGCCGCATCCAGAACCAAGACTGTTGAAGTCATCAGTTCACCTTTTGAGCGGATCCGCCCACCAGCATCCTTGAGATCCGGTACAGCCCCTATATACTGCATCCATGTGCGACCCTTCTGTTTTCTGATTCATAGCTCGGTAGACACGAGGATATCGTTGCCACGGTCGATTGGGAGCAAGACAAGGACACCGCAGGTTTTGGGGAACTTGAGGTTTCTATTCTTGTGAAGGCCACGTGGACATCCGGGTTGCTTTCGGTAGAGAGTGCTTTTGTTGATATGGCGAATTGATATAACTGGTATACTTCAAGAACACAAATCCAAAACATATCGCGTTAAGACGGCCAATAGACTGGAAGATGTAAAGTCGCGAATTTGAGCAGCGGTCGCCTTGGCCTTGTTTGGTCTTGTCAGTTTAGCCTCCATCTGTTCGCCATGTCCTTGGTTTTGCTTTGGGCTTTCGCGGTTTTGAATTTAGGGTTTAATGTAGGGCCTTCCGTAGAACAAGGTTTTGGGGCCCATTATGCTACAAATATAATGAGGACACCCCAAAATAATGTTGGCAATTGTCTAGGCCCCTGCATGAGGGATTTAGGTCCCCGCGGGCTTCAAATCTAAGCCTTTAGGCTCCACAGCTTCTAAGCCTCAAGACCAGATCTTCCGCACTGTCTCCCTGAGGTCTGGCGTGTCCGCAAGCAAGAAGGCAACGCGAACTGGCACCTCAGAACCGTGAAGGAATGCCCCGGATTGGGACGCGGTTTCTGTGGACGGAGCCTTCAGAAGGTGACTTGGAGGGTATCAGGTATATAGAACTCGTTTTCTTGTCAGGGTAATTAATGGAGGGTATCAGGTATATAGAACTCGTTTTCTTGTCAGGGTAATTAAATTTGGGGTTCGTTATGTACCTTTCGAAGTTTTTCTGTACCCATTGGACCATGCATGCGTAAACACCAACTAGTGCACCTGCAAGCATGTCCAGCTAAATAAGCCCTAAACCGGCCTTACCTGCAGTGTGCGAGAGTGAGAGTCCAAACTGGCCCAGGTGCCCGATGACACGCACCAGATTGGACCGAGAGACGTGCACCATGCTGCCAAGACGCGCCCACATGGGAACCCTGGAGTTAGAATGTGTACCTTTGTATGTAGGTAGATAGATAGATAGATAATGTAGGAGCCTGATTAAGAGAGCCTTTGGATTCATATAAAGAGCCTTACTAAGATCCAATGTTTCTTAATCAGGTTCGTACAGTAGATAGATAAGCAGATAAGCAGATAGGCAGACAGGTAGATAGGTAGATAGACAGGTAGACAAGTAGATAGATGGATGAACCTGTACTTTGACTATGTACATCTACAGATACATTCCTATTTGCTTGTTCACTGTACCTGGTTCTTACTTGCTTGTCTCATCTGTGCGATGTACTTGTTTCACTGGTGTTCATGTGTTGTTTCCATGAAAGACTACAGACCTACATAGGCTTGGTGTGGGGCTTGCATGGTGTTGTTTACCTATCTGAACAGGTCTTCCAGTAAGGTAACAGCTCTGGGAGCACCGTTTGTTCGCAGCTCTTTCGAAGCGACAGCTGAGGAATTGGCACTGTAGCATGGCCCAGGAAGGCTGTCAGAAGCCGAAGTTGGCATCTCCACTGCAGGATACTAAACCTTGAACGTGCTTTCCCTGGTTCTCCCCCTATCCAACCCATTCTGCTTTTCTTCATGGAAGGGTTTGGTCAGATGCGAGGAATGTGCTTCAGGGCGACCCCACCAGACCGAAACCCGCGTCGTTTCAAAGGTTTTCAAAGGTGGGTGGAGGTGCAGTTCGCACAGTGCCTGTGAGTCATTGTGCTAAGCTCCGCCCGAAGCGTGCTACAGGAGCCCTATTGGTGGTGTTCGAAGTGCAGCTGGCTTTGGTCTCAGCTGTTATGCTTCGGGAACAGCATGAGGCATGTCTGATACGTTTGCGAGCTTTATGGTTGGGAGTTTGACCCTCCCAGCTGTTGATATGCGAAGTCAGCCATCATGTGAGGTATAAAAGGGAGATGGAAGGTTTCAGGAGTCTCAGAATGGCTTTGCTGCTTTACAGGATGACTAATTACTTGTACCTTCTCGAAGGCATGCATGGAATCGCTATCAACTTGCCATTGTATTATGGTTGCTTCGTTTTTGTGCAATACGGGCTACTAACTTCATGCTTGGCATGTGGTTATACACATGCATGTTTGCATACTTGCTTCGGTATTTGGCTGGCTGCGTTTACGTAGATGGTCGTTGATGATCACGCTTCTGTCTGTGTGCTGATTTCCTAAACCCTTAAGCCCTAGACCCTAGTTCGCGAGAGTCCAAACCCTCAGTGAGAGCCGAAACCCTTGAGCCAAGTCTACTGCCCAAGCCATTCTAGAGTCAGAGTGTACATCGTAGCCGGACTGAGATGGTGGCTGGTTTGGCAAATGGCCGCGCTGCAGCATGGGATCTTCCACTGCCTGTCCTATGCTGTGGCAGGAGGGAGGCTACAGTCAGCGAAGAGAACGGTGGCGACGCGGACAACATCCTCGCAACAAAGCCGGAAGGCTTCCCGGTTGCCCTGATCGTGCTTCGCGTGCTTACGACCGCTGTGCCTTTCGTCATGGTCGTCGTCATAACTGCCCTGGTCCATGGTGCCGCGGCCCTCTGTTCTCCTGCCGAAGGGCATGGGATCGCGTCCATCATCTTGGTCTTCTGTACCATGGTGCCAGGTTGGGCAGCCGTATACCTATGCGCGAGGGCCTCCACAAGTCATGCTTGGTCCACGGCTGGCTTCCTCTTCTGCACATGGGCTCTCGGACTCAAACTTGTAGTTGAGACTTCTTGCAATTTCAACTCAGTCGCCATGAACGCAGCCTGGTCGGTCGTGAGCATGGCCATTGACGCCGTTCAGCAGACTTGGCTTGTCGCCCTTTCAGCTCATCGACTACACTCGCTACAGAGCTCTGCAGGGCACCAGTTCTTCCCAAACTTGATGGCGAGGGCATATTGCGCTGGGGCGGGGCTTGTCCTTGTCACGATTGCTTTGGTCACCGTCAACGGCCTCAAGGACTTGTGGCTCCCGACAAGTTACAGTGTCAGTTCTCTTGCGCCACATGTGCCGGCATTTTGCCTTCGGCACTTTGTCGTTGGTGTGGAAATCTTCCTTATTGGCGAGGTCGTCTTCCTTTCGATTTATGTCTGTCTGGGTCTCTCGTTGGTTGGGCTGGTTGTCGTGATGTGCCTTGTCGCGATCAAATTTTGCGTCGACGTCCTGCTTGCCTATGGTCGGATCTTGGGACACTTAACTGCAGCAAGACGAGTGGCTGAGAGGTCAAACTGCGGACGGAAGGTCAATAGCCTCCAGGCTTTGCAGAGGGGCGAGTGTGCGCTTCGCAAGGAAATCTTTGGCTTCGCTCTGTGTTTCTTCTTGACCAACCTGATTTTGAAACCGTTGTTCTACGTGTTCCACACAGAACCCCTGGCTGTTCTTCTCCTTAACTGTGGGAAGCTCCTGGGCTGCACAATGGGTGCTTGGTTCCTGTCCAACTCTTATCATCTCTCCAAGCGCGCTGGCCTCCCTCCCTTGCCTCGTCGCTGTGTGACGCGCAAATCTCCTCCACGACAGCGTCGGACAACGGATGCAGCCTGGCATGCGAAGGTCGCAGAATTGTCGATGCGCGGCATCACAGCAAGGGAGTTGCTGGAGTTCTACAAGCAGCTGGGCAGCGGCACCATGCCACACTACAGTGCAGGCATGCACACCACCGGCGATGTGGTGCGACAAGCCATCATCCCGATTACCAGGTCCGGGCGTTGCTCCTATGCCGAGGTGACAGGCAGAGAGCCCCTGAGACCGGCCAAAATGGTCACACACTCCTGGCAGAGCCTCTTCAGAGACCTGGTGGCTG